ACATGTGTGTACATAATTATATGGAGATGCGGTGAAACTTATTCATGGATTTATTGGCGCATGAAAGAAATGGATATCGTAGAATTCTTTCTGCCGATATAAAATATTATCTTAGCCGTATCACGAAAAAATCTATACAGTAGAGTTTGTGAGCCTGCGACATCGCGCTCACCGTGACTGTGTTAATTTCACGAACTTTGCTTTTTGAATTAAATGTCACTTTGACGTCGGTATTTAATTTAACAGTATTGTTATTTTATTATGCGATCCGTGTGTTTTTAGTACAAAAGATTTAGTTATCCCATAGCAATGCACGGACACGCTACCTAGTTTAAATATATTTGCGGGGGAGGAGCGCTTTTATAGTATGGGCAGGGGCGAAGGCGTCGTCAAAGTTTACGTCAACACACCATCAAGACGACTTTTTGTTTTTTTCTATACACGAAAGAGCGGACTTTATTAATTATTAAATTAATTTATTCATTTATATACTCAGAGGCATACCTGTGTAACAAAACTGCTCTACACAACGGGAATCTACATACGGCACACTTGAAGTGTGTACTAGTCACAATGAATTTTGACAAGCTTCTATGCAAATAAAAGAATTTAACACATTGGATCATCCACAACCTAACTCGTTCTATTTTTTTTTTCTTTTCTCGAATACAAAGGATTTATTAATCTTTTTCTCATTCCATAGTTTGAGCTCCAAGTCCACCTCCTCGACGTCGCCGCCATTGTCGTCGTCTGAGTCGACGAGGTCCACGAATGCTACTTGAGGCAGCGCCGTCATCTGGCCAGGCTTGGCATGCGCTCGCCGGTGACCCTGCCACCGCTGGCTCGCCGATGACGAACTCTGCACGTCAGACGAGGCAGCCTGTCCCGTGACAGGAAGTGCAGTGGCAGCGCTCTGAATCTGATCTCGGCCTGACGATAATGGTTCTGATGAGACGAATGATGGTTCTGATGGGACGAAGGGTGACCGCCGTTCGTCGTAAACAGCCTGCTAACGCGCACAACCAATGCATGATCGTTTAGAGCGAGTGTAAAGCAAGTCACAAGCCATTTATATATTGCTTATAATACGTCTTTCTCATCTTGAAGCAATGATCGGTAAATGAATGTAATGCCTGCCTGGTCAAAGAATCATTGCCGTAATAATGCTGGGCGAGGTAATACGGAATCAAATAACCCCTGTCATTTGCAGTTGATGAACAGCTCCATTTCCAACCTGTAAATTCTGATCAGGAATTGGGAACAGGGAGGGAGGGAGGGAGCTGCATCGGCTGGCGCGTACGTGTTGGTGGTGTGCCGCCGGCGCCGCTGCCACGCCGGCCGCATGCACGACCAGAGCCGCAGGAGGCAGCGCCGGCGGCGGCTGATGAGGCGTCGACAGGGACGACGCGGCGGCGTAGCAGCGCTCGGCCATCTTGAGCGCCACCCTGATCCGCTCCAGCTCCGCCACGCCCAACCCTCGCCGCGGCTCCCGCCTCGCAGGCAACGTGACGACGTCCTCGGCGACGGAGGAGGCCTTCCGCTTCTTCCCGCCGGCCTCTCCTCCCCTCGCCATGGTCGCCGCGATTTTTTAGATATTATTATTATTATCATCTCCGAGTTCCACGTACGCGCTTCGCTATATAAGCGGGCGGGCGGCGACCCCATTCTCGATCTGGAAACTGAGCTGTACCTCAGCATTGACGGCGGGGGCGATCTGACGCGCATGAATTTCAGATATGCTCCGAGTAAATCCCTTCTCCTTGTGATCCCGGATTCCCGATGCGGTAAGTGTGTTGGATGCGGCTAAGATTTGAACCATCCAGCGCGTGCGAGTTTACTGCCGCGATCGCCATGCATGGAAACAAATCCCTGCCGCGATCCATCTTGCTTTTACTCGCCTCCGCGCTCAACAGAATGACGCGGTCGGCAACGGTGGGGGCGATGCCTCCTCCGCGGCGTCTGCATCCCTTCGTATCGTAGGCACAAGGCCCATGCCCACGGCCCACCCCACCCCACCCCAGCCCACTGCCATCTTGTGGTTCTTGATGCGCGTGGCCGGCCCTCGGATCAGAGAGAATCCGGAAGAGCCCGGTCATTAGCTCCAGATAACCCATAGCTTTGCACGCTTTAAAAATTACTCTATATACAACCCTTACCAACGTGTTCGTTTCGCTAATCCCTCGACCCGTGTAAAGCTGTGGGTTATCTGGAGCTAATGCCCTGGAGCACTGTGCAGCAGGTTTTGACTTCTGGCTAGTGGCTAGGCAGACCCTCCCAACCTTGGCAGTTTCAAATCCATGAGCATCGGAATCCATATGCGATGACTCTAGCATACGTACTCATGACCATCGGGGTGTGTAATGATACTTATATATATCCATATATGCAGCTTATTATCTACCATACAACGTGGCCTCAGCACGAGCGGAGCCCACACGGAGCCCCGAGTGGCCCTCGGCACGGCGGCGCAACGACATCAACAGCCCCAGTCATGAACGGATCGGATACGAACGGATATCACTAATATTACATTTGTTTTCATATTTCTATCCGGATTCGGATTTGAATACGGATAGTGTCAACCATATCGGATAGGATACGATTGGATATCGACATCATAAATATGTAATTTGAGTATTCGGATACGAATACGGTATCGGATGTTGAATATCCGGACTCGGATACGAACAGATCTGAACCCCTTTAAACGGATTCGGTCTCGAATACGGTCGGAAAATATCCGTACCGTTTTCATCCCTACCTAGCACCAATGGCTCCTCGACGGATTTGGCTCCCTCTCCCAGTCATACAGTCATACGAGCTGCCTCCTTGCCATGACGCAGAGCCGCCACCGCCGGTCCGCAACCTACAAGTGTCGCCGGGCCGCTGCCTTCAGTGAACTCCACATGCTGACGAGCCTACATTCTCCCAAGCAGCAAGGAGATGTTGCGCTACGCTGAAAGCACATGTTACAAGCGTATGTTTCAAGTGTTTCTAAGGTATGTTGCAAATGCTTCATATAGATGTTGCAAAAGTAGATTAGAAATTTTTGTACATGTTGCAAGTATTTCAGATGAATGTTGCAAGCATTTGTTCAAACTATTTCATCTGTTTTGGACGTATGTTTGCAAATAGTTTTTTATCTGATGTTGCATATAATTCACACATATGTTGCGAGAGTATGTTCCAAATAGTTCATCTGTTTCATCTTTTATGTTGCAGCAAGTGTTTTTACGTTGCAAGTTGTAAGTGTTTTATTTGGAAGTTGCATATGTTGCAGTGGCTATACACGTACGTTGTAAATGTATGTTTCAAATGTTTCAGCTGTTTTCAGAAGTATGTTGCAAGTGTTTTATCTGGATGTTGCATATATTACAGTGGCTATACATATATGTTGTAAGCGTATGTTTCGAATGTTTCACTTGTTTCAGATGTATGTTGCAGCAAATACTTCATGTTGCAAGTATTTTTATTAGCAGGCACGAGAAAACACGCGTAGATGGAGGCGGTCCCCGCGTGCATGCATAGCAGTGGCGTGTGTGGACGCACCAGCAGCATGCACATGCGGCCGCGTGCAGCAGGCGCATGTGGTGTACTAGAAAATCTCATGCTTCTAGCTAGAGTCCACGGCAATGACGGGTTGCAACTCTTGTGTTTCGGTGACCATCAGCCTATTCATTTCGGCTGAATTGGTTTATAAACCATGGTTAAAAATACTGCTGGCTAGTTTGGTGTGAAAAAAATACTATTTAAGTCGTGATTATAAAAGAATCGATGGGCGGGGCCACGCGTGTCCACTCCCGCTTAAAATTTGGCATATAGGTGAAAGAAAATCTTATTTAAGTCGCATTGGACGCATGTGGGCGCGTGCATTAGAGCAAGTATTATGGTTCGAACGACCACGCCAGCGTGAGACTGGGGCCACGCGTGTCCACTCCCCGCTTAAAAATTGTGAGCATATAGGCGCGTGCAGCAGCACCATGCGCAGCAGGCAGAGCAGCATGCGTAGGCGCGCAGCAGCAGTCGACGCATGTGGGCGCGTGCATTAGGAGATGCAGGCGGCAGCACCATGCGCATCACGCAGGGGAGACGCGGACGTCCAAATAAAGGCTAGCGTCCGGACGTGCAGATGTTAGCCACGCTGATAATCTAATACAAGTGCAACGAGCGTGACAACACTACGTGCTGAGTTTCATACGCGTATCACATACTGATTTACCGAATACCACTACAATACTCGTGTTTATGCATACGTAACGTAACCTATAACAACAATTAACATCTATATAAAATACAATACACATACGATCACATTTTATAATCACAGGTCTGTTCGTTGATTGGTTTATAGGATGATAAATCTGGCTGGTGCTGGTTTATTGTGAGAGAAAAATACTATTGACTGACTAGTAAGCCTTGGCTGAAACCAAAAGTCACAAACTGACAGAGACACGTCTGGATTTGGGCCCAGGCGCGGCGTGGAATGAAGATAATGCGGAAACGGCAAGTATGTCAGACAGATAGTCAGCCAGACAATGAGCACAGGGCCCAGCTGATGAGGATGAACAGCTAATTTGCTGGGATTGGGACAGGTCCACCCCACAATCCCACAGGCCCACAGCCATCTTGTGGTTCTTGACGCGCGTGGCCGGTCCTCGGATCAGAGAGAATCCGGAAGAGCCCGGTCAATCGGTCATTAGCTTTTGCACGCTTTAATTACTCGACAACCGTTTACCTACGTGTTCGCTTCGCTAATCCCCTACCCGTGTGACCAAGCAAAAACCCGAGGGCGAGGGTTATCCCAGCATGTGCGTTATTCCTCGTGCTCGCGCATCCGGTTTGGGTTCAGCTTACCTGGCAAGCAAAGCATCCCCCATCCCCACATTTCAAAACGATTTCGAAACGGAGCCGAGAGCCCACGGTCCGAAGCCAGCTGCGCAAGCTCTGCTTCGCCCGCCCCCACCACCATTCCCCAAGTCCTCCGAGGTCGACGCCGACACATGGAGTTGGAGGGGCTGTGGGCGCGGGTGCTGCACGGCGCGGCCTCCGCCGCCGCGCCGTGGGAGTGGGACCGGGCGGCGTGGGCGGCGGTGCGGGCGCGCGCGGTGGCGCCGGCGCTGGAGGCCGCGGTGTGGGCGTGCCTCGCCATGTCGGTCATGCTCGTGCTCGAGGTGTGCTACATGAGCGTCTCCAGCTTCGTCGCCGTCAACCTGCTGCGCCGGACCCCGGAGCGGCGGTACCGCTGGGAGCCCATGCCCTCCGGGACCGCCGGCGGCCAGCAGGACGATGAGGAGGCCGCGGTGGGCGGCGAGGCGTACCCGATGGTGCTCGTGCAGATCCCCATGTACAACGAGAGGGAGGTGAGGCCCTCGGCCCGCGTGATTCTCATTATCGATCGCCACCCGCTTCTGTATGAAGGCGGCATTCATCCAACCAACTCACGGGCTTGCATTGTTGATTAGGAGGTTTCACATTCAAAATGCGACGACACTTTAGGCACGCAAGCATTGCTTCAATTCTAGCTCTTGTGAATTTCTCTTGTATTCAAAATGCAACGGTACTAGGTTCAACTGCTTTTAGCTCTAGATTGAGTTCGGAGTTTCTAACTTTCTGTGGTGCTCCGAGTCCGAATTTCTCTTAGGCCTGGTTTGGATTCTTAATTGAATTCATTTTAATAATCATAATTTAGACATATATTAATTAAGCTAATATGGTTATATATGAATTATATTTGTATATTATTGTTGGTTATACGAGAGAGATACTTATGTGTTGCATTTCTACCGTATGGGAGCGAGTTGAAGAACGTGTTATAAGTTGCAAAGTAGAAATATAGAATGATGATCTGTAGAATCAATTTCCATCTCCCATCCTATGAATTTAAGATAGGCTTATATGTAAACTTTGGAAAGTGGTGGAATGTCAATTTCCAAGCCAAATAGCTTAATTTATTATGTAGATTTCAATTCCTTCAAATGAAAAGATCCAAACGGCCTCTTATATTATTCAAGCTGCTTGTGTTGTTTCTTTTTTTCTTTCATGGTGGGGAAACTTGAGGCTCTGTTTCGATGTGGAGTCTTGTCAACGATGTGTTTGCTGCTAGTCTGTACATTGACACGGGGCCCACAGTGCTAACATGCCAAAATGCAGAGCACAACCTGTTCGCTGGTTCGTTTTAGCCAGGGCTTATCAGCCAGCCAACAGTGTTTTCCTCTCACAATAAATCAACACCAGCCGGGCTTATCAGCCCAGAAACCAACCAGCGAATAGACTGATTGTCTTCAGCAATGTCCCAGGTAAGCCTGGACAATATGTTAAGCTGCATCCCACGATCGCGTCTGATAGGTCGTCTGATCTCTCTAACTGGTGGAACCGTGGATGCCAGAATGTTGAGTAGCCATGTTTCCTGTCTGACAGGCGCCTGAATTTTATTCTCAGGGGGTCAGCCTGTTCATTACAAACATATGACGATGAAGGTGATGCGCATACCTTTCTTTTGCAGGTCTACAAACTCTCTATTCGAGCAGCATGTGCCCTCACATGGCCGCCCGACCGTATTATAATCCAAGTCTTGGATGATTCCACCAATCCATACATTAAGGTAACACAAGATAAGCTGTTTTTTGTTTGTTTATTTGCTTGATCCAAGCATTTCTAAAGACACATGTGCTATACGAAGGTTTTGAATCTAAGAAGTAGTTCATCAATTCATGTGATGCAACATGTCAAACAGGTACTACCTAGTAGTTCTCGTGATCAATAATTGAATAAACACTAGAACAGCTTGGATAGTTGGATGTGCTTAGCACTGCTTATTCGTATTTTGCTTGAGCTAACTGTTGCTGGAGAATACAACTCGGTGGTAGCCTGGTCGCATTAGTGAATTGCACTGCAAGAGTGTGTGTGCAACTGTATCAAGCTGTAAGGAAGTGTAGCAATTTGCTATAGGTTTCATAGTGAAGGCTGCTATCTGAAAATTCAATGTTTTTTCTCCTGAAACTTGTTCTCTAATTCAACTGCAAGAAATTATCAACTGCAAGAAATTAATTTCATCAAACAGGACTCAGTTATATTAGCAGCCACGACCATACAATTAGTAGACCCTTATCGAAATCAGTTAACAATACGACTTTTCCAATTATTTCCTGTAAAATCAATAATAATATACAAATATCTTTCTTTAGTTAAGCTTTCTGTTCGTTTTCATTGAATTGACTGTTTTCTTTATTTCTATCAATTTTGATAAAATGCAGGAACTTGTGGAGCTTGAATGCAAGGGTTGGGCCAGCAAGAAAATCAACATAAAATATGAAATTCGGCAAAGTAGGAAGGGATACAAAGCAGGAGCCCTGAAGAAGGGCATGGAACATAGTTATGCCCAAGAATGTGATTTTGTAGCCATCTTTGATGCAGATTTTCAACCTGAACCTGACTTCCTTTTAAGAACTATACCATTTCTTGTGCATAACCCGAAGATTGCTCTGGTACAGACACGTTGGGAGTTTGGTAAGCAAAGCTTTCCATTTGTGTTCTCTAATGTGAGACTACATACATTTCTTTAGCTACAAAACATTAAGTTAGGCTCATTACTGCAAATACTTGGATGCAATTTGCTCTGCCTACGAATGGGTAATGTGGTTGTGTCTATAATTTGAAGTGAGAACTTTTGTTCATTCTGATTACAGGATGTTCCTGACCTGGCCTTTGCCCGGGCAATTTTGCAGTGAACTACAATATTTGCCTACTGACAAGGATACAAAAGATGTCACTAGATTACCATTTCAAGGTAGAGCAGGAATCAGGCTCATCTATGCATGCCTTCTTTGGTTTCAACGGTACGACCGTAAGAACCTATGTCAAAAGCAATCATGCGAGTTTGCAATCATATCTGACTGAAGGTTTTACAGGTACTGCTGGTGTGTGGCGGGTATCAGCTATTAGGGAAGCAGGAGGATGGAAGGATCGCACCACTGTGGAAGACATGGACTTGGCTGTGCGAGCAAGCCTCAAGGGATGTCAATTCCTGTATGTTGGTGATATAAGGGTGCGTCTTTCTGCACACTTGTAGTAGTGGTGATGTTTTGATTGGCATATGCATCTGCCTATATCTGTCTGTTGCTGTAACAATTTTGTACAGGTTAAGAGTGAACTCCCAAGTACCTTCAAGGCCTACCGTCATCAACAGCACAGGTGGACTTGTGGTGCTGCCAACCTCTTCAGAAAAATGGCCGGGGACATTGTTAGAAGCAAGGCAAGCATTCTTGAATCAATGTGACAGATGCAGTTACAGTATGGTCACTTAGTAGGAAGTATCTTTACTGTGTATATATATGAATATGAATGATGCAGGGGGTAACTGTATGGAAGAAGCTTCATCTTCTGTACAGCTTCTTCTTTGTCCGAAGGGTCATCGCTCCCATCCTAACATTCCTGTTCTACTGCGTCGTGATCCCATTGTCCGTCATGGTCCCTGAAGTCAGTATCCCTGTCTGGGGAATGTTCTACATTCCCACTGCCATTACCGTCATGAACGCCATCAGAAATCCATGGTAAAGTGACCCATCTTTCTCCTGGCTGACTCCAGATGGAGTAGATTTCCCTGGCTATCCGCTCGTTAATCTCGCGTGTTTACTGATGCTACCAGTTATTTCGTGCACGCCAGGTCTATCCATCTGGTGCCAATATGGATCCTGTTCGAGAACGTCATGTCAATGCACCGAATGCGCGCGGCACTGACTGGGTTGCTGGAGACCATGTACGTGGACGAGTGGGTGGTCACTGAGAAGGTGGGCGACCATGTGAAGGACAAGCTCCAGGTCCCTCTCCTTACACCGGTGAAGCCAACCGAGTGCGTCGAGAGGTATGTAAGAGATCCAGCAAGCTGTACGCGCTGCGCTCTGTAGACTATCACTACGTAGCAGCAGAGATTGCAGTGGAGAAAACGTGTGTCTGACACTGTTGCTTTGCGTTTGCTGATCTGGTCTGTTCTGGCCACTGCAGGATCTACGTGCCTGAGCTCCTGGTCGCGTTCTACCTGTTGCTATGCGCGTCATACGATGTCGTGCTCGGAGCCGGGCACTACTACCTGTACATCTTCCTCCAGGCCTTCGCTTTCCTCGTGCTCGGGTTTGGCTTCGTCGGCACCGCGACACCCTGTTCTTGTGCATAGGCCATAGCACATATAGCCCATAGCTGTTGCTGCATTCTTCCCTGATCTGCCTCCTGTAAGTCTGTAACTAGAAAAAGGAAAGCAATTCTTTGTGTAAATGGAACAGAATAAACGCTGCACGCGACGCATTTCAGTATAGTACTCCCTCTGTAAAAAAAAGGCAGTTCTCAATCCAAAGGAGTCAAACGATTTTAAATTTGACTAAATCTATACGATAAAATATAAACATTTATGATACTAAATATGTATAATTAGTGTAGTTATGAAATATATATTTATAATAAACCTATCTGAATAAATATTGATGTTTTTTTTATAAATTTGATCAAACTAAGAAAATTTGATGTCTCAAATCTAGAATTATTATTTTTTTGTATGGAGGAAGTAACTTAGTAGACACTCAGGTAACCTAGAATTATATATTTGTTTCGGGACGGCTTCAGTGCTGTCTGCATTTGACGGTCGCTGCAGGTAACCAGCCCGGTGAACAAGACTAGCCGCCGTGGCTTTGGGTGCCTAGGTGGGTAAGTGGGTATGGGCCTGGAGTGGACCAGAAGCTATCAGCCAGTGGCAGCCCATGAGAGCTTGTCTGAACTGAACCCGTCCCTGCGATGGACAGCACACACAGCACGAAAGCCACTGACTCATCTCCAGCGGTTGCGTCGCCGTCGCTTTTCATCGGCCACAGGACGGCACAAATAATGTAAGACCCATGACACATCCACACGGTCCCTCTTTTTTCTTCTTCCTTTCCTTGCGAGAAGAAGCAAACAAGAGCCGGAGGGCCGAGCACGAAAGGGACTCAAGGCCCCAAGCTCTCACGAAAAAGGCAGGCGAGAAACATACAAAGCCTCTCGCTTTCATGCCTCGCAAAAAATCTCGTTAGTATCTCGTCTCCTTGGTTGACATGCCCTCTGCAGCACCTCGATCTCGCTTTGTTAATTATTATATTACTCCCTCCACCTTGAAAGAATACCATTCTAACATACTGTATAATGTCAAATGAGTGCTATTAAATTCACCATGAAATGTATATTATATAGTATATACGTATTTCGTACTATCAAATAAATATTATTTTTTTTATGATCTTAATCAAGCTTTAGAAAGTTTACCGAGAAAGAACAGAGTCAGTCAGAATTGCGCTCTTTTTTCAACGAAGGTGTACTACTCTTCCGCTACTAGATGAGGTCGTCTCTTCTGGTGGACACTTGTCCTCCAGTTTTTTCCACGGAGGATTCCGATCTTTCTGCAGATGCCGGCGATCCAAGTTTCCACGGCCGTTTCTTTCTCCCGTACGCTAAATCCGCCGACCAAAGTTGGTATATATTATGCTTAACGGGATGAGAGACGGCTCCTCCGTATAGGTCTGTGGACCCAAAAGATCGTGGCGGCCAACCTCCACCTCCACGTATGCGGAGAGTCTCCAGGCCCAGCCCCACGTCCACGTCTGTGGACCCAAAAGACCGTGCCGGAGACGTGTTTAGGAGACAAGGCAAGCTCCAGGCCCAGCCCCAAATGCGTCGCGCCGTCGCCGCCGTGGCGGCCGACCCGCAGCTCCTGGCGGGCGCGGTCGAGGCGGCGATCGCCTCCCGATGCCCTGAGGCTCGGCCGACCGGCACACGCGAGCGCGCTCAGGCTGCTGGCCCCAGCCCTCCTGCCCTCCATCCTGCGTGCACCTCGTCAACCTCTACTCGAAGCTCGACCTCCCGAGCGCTGCCACCGCGACGCTGGCCGCGGACCCCAGCCCCACCGTGGTGTCCTACACGGCCTTTATCTCCGGCGCGGGCAATACATATTTTTCTCCGTATGGTCAATAATAATCGGAAAAAAGTCTATATAACCTCTGATGTTTGGTATCGTGTCTGCTTCACCCCTATACTATAAAACCATGTATTCTACACCTTAAACATCTCCAAACCATGTATATGACCCCTTGGGATGGTTTTGCACTCTGGTTTTGCCGACGTGGCAGTCCATGCCGGTTGTCAAGCCTATGCAGCCCTACTCCTCCCTTGCAGGTTGCCGCACCCAGCCAATGGGACTGCCTCAGTCGTCATCGCGCGCCTCATGGGCCTGGAGTCCTGGCCAGCCAACACCGCGCCGCCAGGAGGACGAGATCTGCGGACACCTGTTTCCCCCCGTCATCGCCGGTGTCAAGTAGGCGCGTGCCCATTCGGTGGCGGCGGCATGGTAAGCAAAGGCGCCTTCGCGGGCTCTGCTCCATCATCTCTGCTGCTTCATCTTCGGCTTCATCAGCAGTTCAGCATCGCCGCCGTGCCTCGCGAGCTTTTGCATGCACATGCGGCAGCCCGCATCCCGCGCAAGGGTGCTTTCTTTTTGCGAGCTTATGCGGCAGTCCTGCAGCACCTTAGACACGAACGACATCTTCAATGATTGGATTCACCTAATCGCACAAGACATGATCCTTTGGTTCTCAGGCTATGAAACGATACTGGGGCTCCTCGAGCAGTAGGAGGTGCACAGGGATGCAAGCGGCAAACGTGCTGGACTGCACCGGCACGAATCCCGCCAACGCGGACACAGTCCGCCACGGCAGCAACGTCTTGTCCACACCGCACGCAGCTCCACACCGGGCTGGACCAGCCGACCAAGAACCGTTCGATCATGACGACCGCCTCAGCGTCCGTGTCCACGGCATCGACGGAATCGAGCAGGGACACGCAGGACTAGAACACCTGGAACAGGTGCGCGGTGAAGGGCAGCTTCGTGTGGTCGTAGCCATGGTCGATGGAGACAGCACCTTCGCGCCAAGCTGCCTGACGAGGCAAAGGATTGTGGCCATGTCGGTTGAGCGGATGGGGAGTTGGACAGCGACGGTGTCGCTGCTGTTTAGGGCGACAAGGTCCAGGGTGTCGATGTTGAAGACCGCGAACTGGAGGAACTTCGCTGCTGGATGCGTCGTTGCCAGAGTTGTCGCTGATGGGCCTCCGGAGCCGCGCGCATGCCCCGTCTCCCTGCACCACGCTGTCGTGACGTCACCCGCGCTACACAGCACGGCCGCGCCAGCATGCTGCTCCAGGCTCCAGCAGGTAGCCGCCGCCGCCACCACCAACGCGCGTAGGGCGAGCCACCTCCGTCGCCGCCACTAGACAGCGACACTCTGCAAAGGCCATCCACCGCCGCACGGCCCCCTGCGCGTGGCTGGAACTGCTGTCGCGCGCGGTCAAATCAGCAACCGCATTTGAGGCGTAGAGGGCCCGAGAGGGACTGGCAACTGGGCCAAAGCGCCAAGGTGTCCATGTATGTGGCCACATCAGCAAAACCAAGGTCTAAAACCACCCCAAGGGGTTACATACGTGGTATGAAAATGTTTAAGGGGTGGAATATATGGTTTTGTAGTTTAGGGTGTGAAGTAGACCATATGCCAAACATCAGAGGTTCATATAGACTTTTTTTTTTCTTATTATATATATTAGTAGAAAAAAAATGCAGGATGCTACCAACACAACTAGGAGAATAGGAAGGACTTGCTGACTCAGTACCTTAGGATGATGTTAAGAAGATGTGAAACTTAGGTGTGTCGAAAGATAAAATTAGAACATAATTGCTCTTATAGTTCTAGCCCTATAGAAAAATAAATTTGTAATATTAATGTTCCGGACATCACGTTTGAAAATAGAGTTTTTTTGTAACATGTTCAAAATAGCATTATCATGATATTATTTATTTCGTGGCATTTATCTAGGTTGATATATGTGTGTCTAACCATAAAGCCAACAATGTGTCACTTTGATTGAAACTTGCGAGTCCAATAATTTTGAGAGGGTATTGGCTCACCTCGCCAAAAGCCATGCATATGCCAAATGGAATGACCGAGAGGGAATGCTGCTCACAGATTCCTCTTGTTTCAATTTTTTTCCTTATTTGGGAACGATTTTCCAAAACCCGTCTCAGTTTTCGTCTAACATAAACACCATTTGATTAATGTCAAATAACATGATGATAGATACTATGAAGTTTTTTTTTGGAAAGTGCTATGAAAAGTAGTTTTTTTGTCTGTCTTAGTGAAACCCAGCCATGATAATTAAGAACAAAAGAAGCAAAAGTATCCCTTTCTACCAAAGAATTGACAAACATGTAGTCAGGTATATAGTTGGAGGGCTGGGGGAGACTTTATTTTATAGCTTATATAACTGAAGTGAATGAACCAATTAAATTAGAGTACCACCACTTTGAGAAAGGATTCTAGAAAAGAAACAATCTTGGCAGTTCGTGCCTTCGTGGAGATAGTGGCAGTACCACTACACCCACTCGAAACTCTATTTTTCTAAGTGGGTAGCATCATTTTCATAAAGAAATAAATCATCCTAGCCACTGCATCAAACAAAGATTTACAGAGGTGTTCATTATTACTACTAAAGCAAAACCATTTTCTTCATAATTTAACAAGATATTCTATGTTTCAAAGTCTAAGACACTAGAAATTTAAAGGCAAAATTGGCTACCGGAATCTGAAAGTGACCTTCATTTGCCGTTGGACATGCAAAATGAAGCAGTTTGCTGATAGACACTCTGCTTCTTGTCAAATTTACTAGTGGACATCGAATCCAATAAAATATTCATTTCCGGGGTTAGAGGAGAGAGAAGAACGGTGAAATGTCCTTAATACCCCTGCCTCGTTCTTCTTCCTGCCTCCCCGTCTTTTTTTCAGGCTGCGGCGAGACGGGTCCGCGCCTCCTACCTGCTCGTCGGCGGTGGCGGCCGGGGGTGTTCAAGCGGCAGCAAGCATACGGCTTCCATGGCCTCGCGGCCTAGGTGTGCGCGGGCGGACAGAGCATGGGTCGAGCGCGGGGGCGGCTGGCGTCGTAGCCTAGGGCGGGCATGGGCAGCCTTGCAGCCTCGCGCGGTAAAGGCCATGGTGGGCACAGTCGGCGTCGGGGCTTGTGGCATGGGCAGGCGCGGGCGGACGGACCACGGGTTGGGTGCGGGGCAAATGGAGGTCGCAGCCGGCATCGCGACCTGGGCGGGCGTTGGCG